AAGTGACAATAACAGTAACAAGTGAACTATAAAACATAAAACAACTCTTAACAAGGATCTTTAGATCAACTAACACTTAACAATTAACCTCTGACAATGGTAACATTGTCTCATACTGACATGAATCAGTTTCACATATATCACAGTCCACTGCAATTTCAACAGAATTTTTTGCACAGAGCTATTTAGGAATAGTGGGGAGGGTACAGAAGCTAGGAGCAAGAAAGATAGTCAGAAAATACTTATTAAACTAAACTAAAGCTTTCCAAAGTCAAAAAAGTTTTCTTAGTTCTCTCTCTCTTTTACCCCAGCCAGCCTGCCTCTGAGGGCACGCACCCATCCCAGCACCCCGCTCCATGGGGCACTGCGCACACATCTGCAGCAAGGGCAGGTAAAACTGAGCAAACATTTCCCTTCAAGCTCTACATTTCTCCCAATTGACTGAATACAGTATTTCAGATATTTAGTATTCCCTAGATTTACATAGCTGAAGGTGTGGCAGCTGGGGTTTGATTAACAACCTGAAACAGCAAAATTTCCAGTACTGGGGAATGGAATAGATTATCTCCTATACTATTGATTTCTCAGCCATTTTGTTAATATTTTCTGATTTGATGAAATGCTCATTTTTGCACGGGATTTTTCATTTTCATTTACATTGTTCAGATTCCAATCAAGATACTGTACACAAAAATAATCATTAAGTTTCGAGCTCAATCATCAATAATAATTTTATTTTCAGCTTTTCTGACAATCAGGTATAGAAATTATTTGAACAATACTGGCACAAACCTTTTAAAATTTCTTTATTTTCTGGTGTATGACAGCAACTTTAAGCAAAGTTCTCTCTTAGGATATTTGTTATCACTATTTCTAGCACTATTTCTGTTTCTCAAATGCTGAAAAAAAAAATTTCTCTAAGATTAGTGCAAGATTTTAGTCCAATCAACCGTAAAAATACATAAACCAGTCTCCACACAGAAACCTGGTTTAACTTCTACTTAACATGCAAGCATAGAAAAAAATTCTTTGTTAACTAAACTAAGTTCACATAAGCATTAATATACATTTTTAGAGTGAGGAGTAAATCAGATAAGAGGCAAATACCAGAAAAAAACCCACAAATGTTCATAAAAATATTTAATCAAATGTGTTTTCATTACATGGACACCTTATTCATATTAGTTGCTCATCAACCTTACAGTTGATTACTTACAAAAAACAACTTGTAAAATACAAACTTTTAATTAGTACGGTATTGCCTGTATCTCCACCTGACATTTTTTTAATAATTACTCCCAATCTGCGAGAAGAAACCACACTGTATGAGTCATGTGTCCCATAAATTAGTTTGAATACTAGAATTTCTCACTTAACTGTCTACAGTACCCTGCAGGCCAAGAGTTATTTGCTAAAATAATTCAACACATAAAATGAATAATGTTGGTGGAAAAAACAATCATTTGCTGAAAGAAAATTTAAGAGCAAAGCAAGAAGCAGCTATTTGAATAAACCATTCCCTTGCTAACTTTAAGGAACATTTATGATCCCTGCTTAAATTGAAAAAAGTTTGAATTATTGGTCTAATCAGTTAGAGGCAGAGGAGGAACTGGAGACTGCACATTAAGGCAGACCAGCCATGGGACCATGGGACCTTATGGCAACACGCCGGGGAAAGCCACGCATGGGACAGATTGGTCACAGCACATGCTGTGCTGTCCCCTTCTCCAGAAGCATGTGGCTGCAGGGGTCATTCCTTGAAAGGGTACGTCTTGTTTCTGCCACAGCAGACATGAGAAGAAACAAAAAGCCAATCCTAACATGTCATCCACCTGTCATCCCTCAGAAATTTTCTTGCTTCTGACTCCATGGGAATGCACTTCCCTGCTCAGGTATGGGAATATCACTCTTCTGCTACTACCTGTAGCATTTCAAATGAGATCTCCTGGAAAGGAAAACTATCATGGCCAGAAAAAAATAAAGCATTTAGTACAGCTTGTCAAGAACAAACATCCGTGGAACGTGGCCTTCACACCAGGACAGTGCCCTTACCCCGTTACTGCTCGGCAGGGTCCTGCTTCTGAAGTGTTTGTACGTGCTGCCAAAGAAGGGTATTCTTAAATATTGTGATTAATTCAGCTACAGATTCAACAGCAATAGACTTCCAGCTGCCAAATGTAAAACTTGCATGGTGTCATAGAGGAAGTCTTCTCAGAGTCAGACTGTCCTAAGGGGCAATGCGCATCAAATGCCCCTAGAAAAGACAGCATGAAGAGTGCTCGAGTGTGCAGTGTTACTTCTACCAGAATTAGACATTTTGAAAGATGCCAAACACAAAGTAGAAGCCATTTTTTGCAAGAGGCTCTTCTAACTCAGACTGTACTTCAAAGGAGAGTTTGCATTTGCTGCATGGGTCCTCAGGAATATTCAGGAAATTATCACAGTCCCAGAGCTCTCACACAGATAGCTTTCAATTTCCAATAAGCAGTGCCCCTGTATGAGGATACCAAAGGTCCCAGAGTTACTGGTAGTAGTAATCACTCTCAGCAACAGCGAGAGAAGTACCCCAAGGAGCATGACAGAGGGCACGTGTGGTGCTTATTGCTGGCTGGGATCAAACCACGACAGCACGGCAGGCTCTGAACTGAGCATTCATAAACAGAGAGGCAAATACCAGGAAAACATGACTGGGAAGACACAAAACTTCTCTTACAAAGTAGGCTTATACTAAGACCAGTATGCTTTAGTGAAGATTTGACCATTTAAGCTAAGAAGGTTTACTGCAAGGATATCCATAAATGTATCACTTCCAGGGAAAGAAATGGCAACTGAAGTGGGCAGTATTGTCCTCAGTTTTTCCCAACTAATCTCTTCACTACAGCAGCACAGGAGATCTCCACTCTACCAAAGCGACAAGAGAAAATTACTTTTTAAACACTACAGACTGTAATAGTTATCATTAACCAACTGGTTTCCTTTAGTTATCATGTTTTGTAATTTTATTAATGAAAGACTTCTGCGATCAAAACAGAATCATATCAATATGTTCCAGTTTCCAGATGTAAAATGGTCATGTACACAAATAAAACAAAGCAGAGCCACTAAATCTCACACATTTTTCTAAAAACATTCTTAGCCAAAGTAAGCGCATAAAACACAAAAAACAAGCTAAATATAGAAGTTCTATATTAATTCAGAAAACTGTATAAAACACAGATTAGCTATTAAAAAGCAACTTCAAAGCCACCTTATTTGGTCATTTCCTATGCAAATAAATTCCTCAGCTTATGCACAACAATGTAGAAGAGGTAAAAGTGCAGGAAAGCAAAATTTAATGGTAAATAAAATCTTTTTACTGACAATGATGCTGCACCACAGGATAACATTGATTGCCTAGTTACCAAACAGCAATCTCAGAAACATCTCAGCACCTTTCTGCTGAAAATATTAATTTAATCCCGCATCTAGCAACCTGTGGGATGTCAACTTCTCTATCACAATTAATAGTTTTATTTTTGACATGCATGCTGACAGCTCATAAAAGCTAATGGAAAGTAATCTATTGGAAATTTAAAATCTGATTATTTGAGTGTAAAAGCTCCCTGACAGTCCTTTGTATTGGGAAGGGGAAATTTAGTAAGAAAATTAATCAGTTTTGCTACATTAAAACAATTTCTCAATCTGATATGAAAGTCAGGCCTAAAGTTTGCTTATATTAACATATGATGCAAAAATATTGTTTCACCTGAGAAGAATTTCAAAAATCATTTCACAAATTAAGGTCTCCCTGGAACCTTCTTGTTATGAATGATTCGAGTCTCAAGAGGACATAAAAGGTTCAAATCAAAATTTATTTGCGAATCGAGAACAGGCAAACGGGCCCTTGGTGCACTGGAGTCACCGCTCCACAAGATGCACACCGAGTGGACCACTGACCCACTTTTATAGCCTTGGTGTTACACAACAGGGTTCAACCAATCAGCGAGAGGATCAAAAAATCACCAATCAATTGATGAAACCATATGGCACCACTCCACCAGGTTCAATCCCTATTGGTCCAAACTGACCAATCGGCGGCGTTCCATAAGGTCCAATCAGAGTCCAGAGTTAAGGTCCAACTGTTGTTCGGTGTTAACGTCCAATCAAAGTGGCTTTTTCAGTCCCTTCCGTTGGCCTCAAGCTCATGCTTCTTCCAGATTGTTCTGTGGCTCTTGCTCTCTAGTCTAGGGGTTTAGCTTCTTAGTTTAGTGGCTCGGTCTAGGGGTTGCTGTAATATTCCTTCATTTGCTTCTCTCAGGCTCACTCAATAACAGGTAAGTGGCAATAACAACAGCAACAAGTGAACAATAAAACATAAAACAACTCTTAACAAGGATCTTTAGATCAACTAACACTTAACAATTAACCTCTGACAATGGTAACATTGTCTCATACTGACACGAATCAGTTTCACATATATCACATTCTCTTCTCCAGGCTGAACAACCCCAACTGTCTCAGCCTGTCCTCATAGGGGAGGTGCTCCAGCCTCTGACCATCTTTGTGGTCTCCTCTGGACTCACTCTAACAGGTCCATATCTTTCCTGTGCTGAGGACTCCAGAGCTGGATGCAGCTCTGCAGGTGGGGTCTCATGAGAGCAGAGCAGAGGGGGAGAATCACCTCCCTCGACCTGCTGGTCACGCTTGTTTTGAGGCAGCCCAGGACACAGTTGGATTTCTGGGCTGCAAGCACAGACGGGCAGCTCATGTTCAGCTTCTCATCAACCAACACCCCCAAGTCCTTCTCCTCAGGGCTGCTCTCAAGCCATTCTCCTCCCAGCCTGTATCTGTGCTTGGGAGTGCCTTGACCCACATACAGGACCTTGCACTTGGCCTATTACAAAAAGTAGTAAAACTTTCCTACAGAAGGAAAGTCCATTTGCACTTCCAGGTGTGCTCTCTCTGACTAATCTTATTCTGTTTTTATTTATACAGTTTCCATATTTTATGTTACTTTCTAGGCTCTAGAAGATGAACCACCTTATTCTACTTTTCTCACTGTTCTTGGCTCCAGCATTTGCTGACAAAGAAAGTCAGAAAACAAACCAAAAGTTTTCTTCAAACAATGCCAGTCACAAACGACTGAAGAGAGACTGGATATGGAACCAAATGCATATCAAAGAAGAGATTGATACTCCATTACCACACCATGTTGGCAAGGTAAATAGCAGCCTGTTAGCAATGAATAATTAGAAATGCAGACAGCAAACGAGTATCTTGACAAGTATTACTTGTTTGCAGTCTAGGCAGAATAGAAGAGAAAAAAAAGGATACAGAAATGGGGCTAACGTGTTAAAATCTCAAGAATGTGGACAGAGTAAATCAAGAATAACATCAAAGGGATTCAAATACAAATACAAATAAATTTTAGAGAATGGCAAGTATGGAGCATCTGCAGTGAAGAAACAATTGCATTACATGCAGGTGCACCGTTAGGAAGAAAGTCTGGCACCTGATGTATGTCACTATTTTTCTGGCAGCTCAAGGTTCTTTCAAAAACCTAGGAGATCAGCTAATAAAAACATATACATTAAGAAACATACAGTTTACATCTCTCAGCTTGGATACAAAACAAAAGTGCTATGTTTAGGCATACTGTTATACAATCAAAAAATTTGTTTCACAAAGTGAAATAAAATAATTTTTAAAAATAATAATGAGCGTTGACCTGCTTGCAAACTCATTTTCTTCAGGGCAGCGCTCACAAAATCGTATGATTAACTGCATATCACCCAGACAAAGTTCTTCCAATCTAGTCTTTCAAATTGAACTGCTTTGACACTTTTCAGATAAATGCAGTTGTACATTTTCCTCCCATGTACAACAATCAGCATCTGTCAAGGCTGCCTCGGCAAAGTGAAACAGACCTTTCTGGATCAGTGCTGCTCACTGGCAGAAAGCACAAGAGAGAGAGAAAAGAGGCCATAGGGTGCTCTCAGCTAACACAGGGTATCTCTGTTTCATTTCAGACCAATTCAGTAGCAGATTGAGGAGAACACTTCTATTCCTGAAGCTGTCCTAAATAAGAGTAATTCACTTTGTACTGTGCTCTGCGGTCTTTCAACAGTGGAATGCTTCTGATTACTTTTGCAATGGCTGTGTTCAGTGCATTGCATTTGCAGGATTGAACACTTGATAAAACCTTTAAAAAAGGCCACAGCAGCAGCGTGGCAGAACTGAGTGACAGCTGCAGGAATATGCTGATACATTTTGATTTTATCTTTCTTGACCTTGGATGCTTTCCTTTGTGTGTTCATCCTCAGTTTTAGAAAAGGCAATCTGGGAAGTCTATACCTTTTACACTGAATAAGTAAATAAAAATTGAGAAAGAAGGCTCAGATTATACTATCTTTAAGAAAAGGGTGAGGTTATTTCTTGTGTTACATCTCTGGAGTTGTAAACTGTTCTTCAGCAGCCCCATCAGCCAGAAGCATGACAAAACTATGTAAAATGAGGCAAGAAAATTTTAGTGACATATTTCAAAACAGAAAACAGAAATGAAAGAATGTTCAACAGTAAATGACAACTAGAGGATAAATCAAATCCTGAATACCAAACAGCTGCAATTTACAATAGCATCAGAAACAAAAGACTACAAATTCTTGGTCAAACCCAGCAATTTCAGCTTGCTGAAATAAGAGTGCTGATACAGTGCACAGAAAAATGTGGTTTAAACCTTCTATCAGTGTCCTTAGATGGGTGAAGGTGTAGAAAGGGAAGAATCATTGGATTATCTCCAGATTAAATAATGTACAACAACATTTGGGAAAGGATTAAATAACATTTTAAAACTGATTAATATTAATTCCTTTTACGCCATCCCTTTTTCACTGCATATAATCTTAAATCTTAAAATCTATGGGGTGGAAATTTAACGTTACTGTCATAGCATGAGCCTAAAGACTATGAAGAAATTGCATGCGATTAAACACAAGAAAGCCGGCAGCTATGGCAGGAATTCTGCTAAACACTAAGTAATAGAGACTAATGCTGCATAATGTCAATAGCTGCACAAACAGATTTGATTCTGTAATTCTGTGAAATCTACACAAAATCTCTGCTAAATTCAGACTGTTACTTGCAAACAAGAGGAGCTCAAACTGAACATGGTGGCGTGTGTTATTTCAGACATAACGAGGTTAATGACTTGTATGAGCTAACTGCATGAACAATTTATGTTTTTAGGTAATACAAGACATGATCTTTAAAAAAATATATTCTTGATATATTCTTGATATATAAGCAAGCAAGTTACAGTCTGGAGGCAAATTTCACCCTATAACCCTGCACAGGTGTAGCTACTGTCGTGCTGTTTGTTCAGTAATAATCCAGCTGACATCAAAAGTCTTGATGGCTATTCTGGTTTCAAACTGAGTCTGAAGAAGAAACTGTGTTGCATCCGGATGCCAAAGCCCACTTTTATCTCTTTGAATTATACTTTCCTTCTAGATCACCTCAAGTGTAAGGAACAACAACGCTAAGTATATCATCGAAGGTGAATATGCCAACACTATCTTTAAAGTGGAAGAAACCAGTGGGGATGTATATGCATTTGAGAGGCTAGACAGAGAAAAGAAAGCGGAGTACGAGCTGACAGCTCTCATTATTGACAGAAGAAACAACCAGTCACTGGAACCCCCATCTAAATTCATTATCAAGGTTTATGATATTAACGACAATGTCCCTGTGTTTGTACAAAAGGTATTCAATGGATCTGTCCCAGAAATGTCACCAGTAGGTACGTTCTTCCATCACTCATTTCTCTTCAAATCTCTCATTAAAAAGCAGATTTTATACTAAATATGCTGTTTGAAAATCCTTTTCTAGGAACCTCAGTCACCAAAGTGACAGCTGTAGATGCTGATGACCCGACAGTTACAGGTCATGCCACAGTTACCTACCAAATCATTAAAGGAGACGAACACTTCACAGTTGATGACTCTGGTAGGTCTGATACACAGATGTCCTTGCATTTTGTCCTTACCATACACTTTGAAGAAAATGTAGTTTTAAGCCTTTTTATATTCTGGACAAGGGGAATAATAATTCAAAATATAATTTTAACCATAATTTAGAAAGATTTTTCATTCACACTCACATAATGCCACTGTCTGCATCTGGAAATGAACTCATAAAGTCAGGATATGAGGTGCTGTGAATTAAATGAGAAGATAAAAGGTCATTTTTTCCCCCACTGATGAAGAGACTGTCTAGGACCTAACAGAAGTTCATGTTTTCAGTTTAGCATGGATACCACTCCTTTAACCAAACAGGAAAAGAGGAATACATAAATTCTGAAGCAGCATTCAACAATCAATAACTCAACCTTTTGCATTCCTAAACTTTCTTGTTTAAATTTTGCCCTGATTCATGTCTTGTAACCACACCAGTACTCTGGAGCAAATAACTTAGATAAAGAGGTGCTCAGACAAACTCCCTAGATGCTGCAGTGACCAAGTTTAGACATCTTTAGACTTTTAAAGAAGCAAAGATCAGTTTAAAGCAAGGTATTGTACAAAATCTCCCAAATATACTGTCATACAGAAAGATTTCTAACATTTCTAGCCTTAGAAAAATACCACTATAAAAAATGCTACTTAAAGCTGAATGTGTGGCATAGGGCAAAAGTTTGCTGTAAAAATTAAGAACGTGCTGCAAAATCTAATAATATTCAATGTTATTTTTTCAAAGGTGTGATTTCTACCACAAGGGCTGATTTAGACAGAGAGAATCAATCAACATATGAAATTATTGTTAGAGCAAAAGATGCTCCAGGTTCTTCAGGGGATTCAAGCACAGCTACAGTCATTATCACGTTAACTGACATCAATGACAACTTCCCAGTATTCAAACACCGTAAGTATAATGCAAGTGCTGTATCATTTGAAAACCAAGGGTTGATGCAATTATAATGAATTTATGTCAGAGTTCATCACAATTCAATTTATCTTAAAAGTGGACAAAAGAATCTTATATATTCAGAATGTCTTCTGTATTTCAGCCCTAGCTACATTTTCCTGGGCAATGCATGCTAAGAGGAGAAAATAAAATCAGTATTAATTTCATCACTTTGTATAAGAGCTTGACATTTTGAGAATTAATTATATTTTTTATAAAAAATACATCAAAGTGCTGTCTGTAAAGATATATAATGCTGAATTTTCAATGAAATATTTTTCTGTATGTCCATAAACGAAGAACAATTTTTAACTAAGTTCTAACTTCCATGTACACATTCTTTATGTCTTTTTTCTTCTTGTTTGGTTTTTTTAACAGCATCATTTCACTTTAAAGTTCCTGAAAACATTTCAGTAGGAGGAGAAGTTGGCAGAGTCAAAGTAGAAGATATTGATGAACCACAACATAGAAATACGAAATACAGTTTTGTCAGAGGAGATTACAGGGACACCTTTGAAATTGTAGCAAATCCATTCACAAATGAAGGAATCATTAGGCCAAAGAAGGTACTTTTCCCAGTAACAAAGATGATTGTTTTGTTTTTCCATATGTAACAAGTGTTTGATTCAGTTTGGGACTAGCAGCAGGAAAAAAAATGGAAATGTGTGGAAGTCAGCATGAAATATGTTCATCCTGAAAATCCTGTTCTGTAAGCTCTCCGAGAAGAAGAGCCCATTCTTTTACTAGCCCATTGTTTTACTAGCCCATTTCAACTGCCAGTCCTGGGAAAATCTAGAATTACTGCAGAGTGCCATGGAGACTATGTCAGATACTCAGGTTAAGCACTTGGGGCTCCTCTCAAGCTTCAGATACTTGGATGCTTTGAAGAGTCAGTGATTTAAGAGTTGGACCAACTGACCAAGGCAAAGAATCTTTTCCTTCCTCAGCCCAAGTGAAACTAAAGTAGAAAATGTGAACAAGTCCACCTGACCACTCTTCTAAAACTGCTCTTTACTGTTTGGCACTTGCTCCAATCTGAGCCGCCGCTCCCTTACTTTCCCCAGGGTGTTTTGAGAGCTTCCCCACTAGCTCCTCATAACTCTTTAAATGGGCTCAGACTCTCCAAAGCCTTTACTATGGTTCGCTCTTTGTTTTTTTAATTCTCAAACCTACTTGATTTGTACCAAGCGACATTCCTGTGTTATCGACTTACAGTAAAAAAAAAAAAAGAGGAGGAAGGACTATAAATCACCTCCTGCAATCATCAGATTGACAGGAATGTGTTTTTCATGTCCAAATGTCTCTCTGTAACTGTTAAGACTAGAAATACCATTAAGAAAAAGAGAAAACTTTAAGCAAAAAATATACCAAGTATTCCAAGACTGGCAGCAAAATCTTCAGCTGTGGTCCCACTAGGAGTACGCAGCTTTCCTTCACCGAATGCAGCCCTTCTCCTGGTCTTCCCAGGACCTGAGGAATGCATCGCTTGCAATATCTGCCCAGAGGAGGAGCAGTAAGAGACCCCACACATACACACTGAGTGATTTGGAATCAGCTCATCTTTTAGCATGCAGTGGGCAAAGCTCACCCCACTGTTTTGTAACATGCTTTTGGCCATACATATGTCATAATCTTAAATATGCAGCCATGTGAGATACAATTTCAGCTGCTAGATAAGCACTACCACTCCCATTTGCAATGCCTGCTCAGAGAAAAACAACAAGTCACCACAGTTAACTACTGTGTATTTCATGGTGTTTTTATTATCTCAGGCAATAGTACAAAGGGACCCAAACTTTGAAATGAGCAACAGCTGGGCACTTCTGACTGCCCTAGCTCCTGGCCTTCCTTCCATTGTGGGATTCCTTTTATAATCTCAGTCAATGGGAAAAACAAGGAAGCGGATGTCATTTATCACAAAATGCCCCAGCTATCAGTCAGTGCAGCTATGAAGTCTGACTTGAATGACTTCAGAACAGAAAGCCTAGCTGAGAAGAGGAGAATCTGGTCCCCAACCTCTGAGAAACAGGAGCTAAACAAGTTTTGGTAGCTACAGAATTATTTAAGCTAAGAAATACCTGCTGAATACTGGATGAATCTGTTCAAAACCAGAAGTTGCTCAAGCCACTCCTTTTATGAAAGAAAAGTTCAATTTGGAAATGCTCTCCCAAGAGTCTAGCTGAGATGCAATTTGGTAATCCTTCCAAACACAATTAGAGCACAGAGCTTAAATTTGCATTGACAGCTAATTCAAAGTTTACCTATACATCTCCAAAGAAAAAATATCTGTGTCTTTTTTTCTAGCCCCTGGATTTTGAAAAAGTGGCAGAATACAGGTTTGACATTGAAGCAACAGATCCCACAGTCGATCTCCGCTATTTTAAATCTGGTGGCTCTAGGAGCATTTCAACAGTCACCATTGAAGTCACCGACGTTGATGAGCCTCCTGTCTTCACTAAACTACCATATGAATTCAAAGTAAGGGAAAATGATCCAGAAATAAGAACACTTGGTTCTGTTTGGGCACATGACCCTGATGCAGCTAAACGGAAAATCAGGTAACATGATACCAGCTTTAGTGATTCTATTTGTTAATGATTCCAATAATTTCACAAAGGACTGAGACTTTGGCCCTGTGTTTCAGAATCTGTATGCCAAAAAAAAAAAAGCAATCCAATTTTATTTTTCCAGCACTGCAGCCATAGATATATATGGTAACCAACCAATATGAACATAAATTATATTTACCTATGTAATTACCACATAAAATTACTGATAGAACAATTGCACATTTACAGGAAAATGCATAATTTTGGATATTTTTACATGGTTATAAATTATTGGGGTTTTTTTATTGTAATAACTTTCTCAAGCAGATGCTTTGCAGAAAAAATAGACTTTGAAACAGCAAAAGACAATAACCTAAAAAGTTTGCCAACAGATACATTTTTAGTCTCTCAGCTTGCTTAATTTTAGGGAAATATTCTGAGACCGCCTGGTCAAGATATTAATGTAATTTGTCACACGAGAACTCTCTGACCTTCCACTATGAAGAACTGAAGTGAAATACACTATTATCACCCTTGCATTGACTTATCTCTTTTTAAACAATTAAACAGATTTAGTCGACGAAGAGGTAGTCCTAATGGAGACTATATTAGGGTATCCGATACTGGAATTATTCAGCTCCCTAAGCCCCTGGACAGAGAATTCAGTTCCTCATACAACATCACTGTAGCAGCTCAGGAAATCCTTGAAGATGGTAAGTGCTGTCCACTTCCCTATTTCAAAGAAATCAGTATACAACTTTACAGCAGGACTGTAGTGTATCAAAAAGGAAAGTCACAACCTGACAACCTGTTTCCACTAAGCTATGAATGAAAGGGATGCTTGCAGGGTTTGCACAATAATCTTCCAAATCAGATGAGTACCTACAAATATGTCCAACACAGTTTTAAGATTTGGCCCCTAGCTATTACGAAAACACATTCAGTTTGTTACAAGGAATAGAGAGGGCATGAGGAGAGGAGGAAGCTTGGGAAACATGCATAAGCCTGTGCTTTGAGCAGACAGATCGCACCCAGCTTCACCCACTTATGCAGAGTTACAAAATCCCCCTCCCACACTGCTGCCCCGGGAGCATCCTCACATAGCTTTGCCCAGGTTCAGGGAACAGGGCAGGCCAGGGGCCAGTCCCAAACTCGATCTGGGGCAGGCTGGCCTTTTCTGGAGGGTGAAAGATATGTAACAGTATAGACATGCCCTGTTCTGTGCCTGTTGCCTTAGAGCCAGAGAACAACGCTGGACACCATAAACATACAGTATGAAGAATCAGGAAGCCATAAGAAATTGTCATTTTCTTCCTCATAGATCCTTGATGATTCAGCCCAATAGAACTTTCAGGAAACTATGTGAATCTGTTAAAGGAAAAGTTTAAATAAATGATGGAGCTAGAAACTCTCCATCATGCGGGAGGCGCAGATGACACAAACAGTGAAAAGGCAGAGCTAAAGAGCACTGAGATTCCAGACATCTGAGAAACCTGTACTGTTGTCATTTCAGGCCGTCTTTCTGACAGAGAATCACACGCCCAAGTTCACGTAATAGTTACTGATGAAAATGATAATGCTCCTGAACTTGTTTATCCTGAGGAACCCAGAGTGTGTGAAAATGCTGCACCAGGAAAGGTGAGATAGGATGCAGAGTTCTTCCCTTAAACCTGAATTATCTACTTGCAAGCTCAAGCAAAAGATGCCTTCTAGTAAAAATTAGTGTCAGTTTTCATACCCAAGAACCTGATCATTTCGTTGACTTCTAAAACATCAATGGTCAGAAATCTCCCTTCAGGACTTTACACTGTTGGAATATTGACTTTTATCTGCTTAAGCACGTGAGCTGCACAGTTCCTCTCCCTCCAGGTTTTTAAGTACACACATGCAGTAGCAATTGAACTGTGAAGTACAGTCAAGCCTTGCAGAGCAAAAGTTAGCAGTTTGGTTTCAGCACATAAATGTTCATATACGATACTGAGAAGGAAACCATTTCAAAATACTAAGAGAAATATAGCTGCATATAACATTATGGTAGTATTCATCAGAGTGCAAGTGTCTTCATGCACAAATAGTGTTGGTACTTGTGGGTTTCCATGTTTGGCCTCAGACACATTTAGCCCATACATACAGGGTTTGATTAAGAGACTTTGTCACAGACTGGACTCTCTGACAGAAACTGTTAGAACACACAAGGTATTCTTTCACCTTTGGGATACAATCATACGCATTTTTTACATTTTATACATCTAATCTACCCCAGGTTGAGGTTTTCAAAAACAAGCATCTCATTCAGGAATGGCAGTCTCAATGACATTCAATGAATGAGACTCATCCTTGTAAGTCAGTTGAACACTTCAGAAGACAGCACTCTTAGGTATTTAAATGAGCCATGTCTTTGAGCCTAAGACTTTTTTTTATGCTATAATTACACAAGATTTCCTCTTTTGTTTCCCATCTGTGAATGAAGGGGCAAGACTGCTCTTTTTGAAGAGCTACAAGGAAATTACTTGTCTTGAAAGAACCTGAAGAGAAGCATCACAAGATATCTTTGTCCTGCCCTTTACTGCAGGGTTATACAGGATACACAGCCCACCTCGAACTTAAATACTTTGTAAGCAGTTTTATCACTGGAGGCAATATATACTGAAAATTATGACATCTTCCATCTTTGCAGGTAATCATCAGGATTTCAGCTACTGACAAGGATGAAATATCACCTAGAGGTTTCTTCAGATACTCCCTGGCCACAGAAGATAGCAACTTCTCCTTGGTTGAGAACTACGGTAGCGTATCCCTGCGTATTCTCAGCTCGACAAAGTGAGACACTAGGACATGGGAGAAAAGCTGTAGCAATGACCTATGATCGGTCTAGCTCAGCTAAGTAACAATTTATTTTTAAAGGCTTAACTTACTGAAAAAAAAGTTGCTTGTTGCCACACAAGTTTCACTGGGTTCCCTAAAGGCTGGCTCTGTCTAAGGTGAAAATGTACCAACTGACTGATAATCTATAAAGAAAATCTGGTAGAGATTATCACTTAATTAGATGTCATTACTTCTTCCAGATAACACAGCTAATATCACTGTCAAATATGGACAGTTTAATCGTGAACTTGCCAAAATCCACTACCTGCCTGTCATCATCTCGGACAACGGTGATCCTGAGCTCAGCAGCACAAATACACTTGTCATCAGTGTCTGCAAGTGTAATGAAAAAGGCAACTTCACTTTTTGTGAAGAAAGAGCTAAACAAGTTGGAGTTAGTGTACAAGCACTGGTGGCAATTTTTATTTGTATCTTCACAATCATTGGTAAGTATTTTGACTTTTGTAATGTTCTCTGACTTAAAATGTGTGGATGCTTTGGTTTTGTTTTTTCTTAATGGAGGTCTACAAAAGCTTTGCAGCTATAAAAATGGTCAGGAAGGCAGAAATAGTATAACTACTTGATTCACCTCACTCGCTCATTCTATTTGGCCTGTTTGCATAGTTTCAGCAACAAAGCTGTTCTATTGGAAAGGCTGCGTCACTGGAAAGGTTGTTGCACGTACGCACAACATGTCTGATTTACTGTTAGTAGGCTCACGTGCTCCTATAAACCAGGAAATTTGTGCTGGGGCAATAACAATAGGATTCCTGTTTCCAAAGGCTGAACTAGTCTGGAAACCCTTTAAATAGTACAGTGAACATATATACATAAATAAATCTGTAACAAATCAGCAGACCAGTACTTGCTGTATTTGGAATCTATCAGAGAAGGGGCAACATTTTTTCTTGCTTGAGAAAAGGCCTCCTTTGCAATTACCACATAAGTAGCATTTGATGCCTGGCATTAAAACATTTAGCAGGTGAAGACAGTAGTTGATCCTCGTGGCTAAACTGAGGAAGTGCG